GAATGCCACCAAAATGCTTAAGGAAATACTTAAATTTTTATCAATTAAAATGAAGCTGGAAATTAAATAAAAGGGTCGACTAAAATGATCAAAAGAAGGCCGATTATATAAGCTGACTGGAAAAATATTGCTAGTGGTTGGTTTCGAAAATTCTAACGAGTCGAGGAAATAAATTTGACGACCTGAAAACGGCTATATAATCGGTTCTCGCTAAAACTGAAAACTTCTAGTAAATCTCGGCTAATCTCTAAATTAATTTTAATTAGACGAATAAATTAATTATCTCAAATAATTAAATAGACACTCGCGTCTAATTAATCAAATTTACTGGTCGAGCTAAGAAAATAAAATGCAATAAAATGCATAATATAATAATAATTCGAGACGTCTACTGAATAAAATCGGGGCGTTACACCAAATCATATACATTTAAAGAAGTCGAATAAAATAAGAGTAAATAGGGGCAAAAACGAAAAAATAATCAACGTCTCCGGAAAGGCTTGTTTTCAAAAACGACACCATTATTTGATGTGGATAACATATATTTCTCGCACCATCGCGTTTCGAAGCAAATTCGTATATATTTAAAGGAGTCGAGGAAAATAAGAGTAAATAAGTGCATAAACAAAAAAAATAAATAACGTCTCCGGAAAGGCTTGTTTTCGAACACGACACCATTATTTGATGTGGATAATATATATTCCTCGCACCATCGCGGTTCGTAATTAAATTGTATAATTTAAAGAAGTCTAGGAAAATAAGAGTAAATAGGGGCAAAAATGAAAAGATAATCAACGTCTCCAGAAAGGATTGTTTTCGAACACAACACCATTATTTGATGTGGATAACATATATTTCTCCACTATCGCGTTTCAAAGCAAATTCGTATACATTTAATGAAGTGAAGAAAAATAAGAGTAAATAGGGGCAAAAACGAAAAAATACAACATCTCCCGAAAGGCTTGTTTTCGAACACGGCACCATTATTTGATGTGAATTGTATAATTCTCGCACCATCGCGTTTCGAAACCAATTCGTATACATTTAAAGAAGTCGAATAAAATAATAGTAAATAGGGGCAAAAACGAAA